GATGTCATCGTTCAGACTCTCCTCTTTAATGGAGGGAAAATTATGTGAATAAAACAGATTACAGATCTCATCGTTAAGACTATCTCAATGGAGGGAAAGTTATTTGAAAAAGTAAAAGAAACTGAAATTTATTTTCTGGTTTATATTTAGTTAATCAAGAAAAATTTTGAGCAAATTTAGCAGCAGCTACTAAAAATTTGTGTCTAACCAACCTATTTTCTTTTAAAATCATGAAGGGACACAACGCGGGAGGGTGCAAGAAAATGTCTTAAACTCCTGAAAAAAAAAGAACAAACTTTTTTTCACTTTTCCTTGCAAATAAACCTTATATAAAAGTTTCTCCCCAAAATGTTCCTCAATGACAAGATGAGCAACAATCCACTGCTCAAAAGGCTTGATGCTGCTGAAGGGGGAACAAGGACAATGGTTCTCAAGGAAAAGAATCGTCCTCCTGAATCTGACTTCGACTCAAAACTCTCTCTTGACTAAACTGATTTACATTAACGGGAAAACAAAAGAGAGAGAGAAAATAACGGTTCCATTGTAAAACGTCCACTCCAGAACCACAAGGTTAGCTAGAGGAAGGCGTGTTACATGACCTTGGCAAATACTGTCATATGCTACTCTACTCACACTCGTACACGAACAACCAAACACAATCTATTCTCCTTTCCCTTTCGGCTGCGAGGATAAAAACACTGTTCTCAACTGTGCGTCAATTAAACCTGAGAATTCCGCTAGGCAAAACCTCTAGGATAAAGTTATTAGTAGTAAAGTTCTCTTCCTAACACCCGCATAATGCCAGTAGCACTTTTTGACACTAGTCTAGCACAAAAAACGTGAGAAAACAACTAATTGCTAATATTTATGCTAAAGTCAGTCACAAGTTCTCAGGTAAGGAATTTGAGCATTCAACTCAATCTCAATATTGAGACAAAAACAGAACCGAGGTACTCCCAACTGTTCTCTGGTTTCGTTGCCTGGACAGCATACACAACCTGAAGTCGCTAACGTACTCCAGCCAAGCAAAGGGAGAAAACTAGCTAGCATCTCTAGTCAAACTCATATTTTTTTCTGGTAATCACAAAGTTTGGTTGGGTTTGGACTCCGGTCACCACCACGGGTCAGTCATGCCTCAAGACCATAGGTCGCTTACCAGAGTTCATACATAAAGCCTACCAACACTCTAATTATATTAATCTCATCAAGTATGAAGCATCACAATTCACAAACACGTCCAATATGTTTAATCACTAAGTACAGCAAAGATAAATCCATAAACTTGAACAAAGTTTCAAACTCCAAAAGTATAATCCAACTAAATGTGAGATCGAAAGTCACCATAACGGTGAGATCTATTGAAATATGCATCCAGATTCAAAACTAACCATTAATTGTAACCAATTATACTTAGCCATAAAATAAGCCACATAGACAATTCACCACATGCCCATACTCTGAACTAGATTAGGAAGCACAAACCTTCCTCCAGCTCAACATGAATGAAAATCTCAATATCATTCAGTCAGTTTGGTGTACCTTTACAATCTAATAAAACATCACCACACTGCACAAAGATTCACTTCTCATTTCAAGACAGCGAAAGAACAGCAACACACCTGTCTTTGTCCTTGGATAACCAACCTTGCAGTACTGCTACAGTAGGTATCCAATATTCACCAATCAAAAATAACTAAAGACTGTCCAAACAATGGCCCATGAATAGATTGATGACAGATAAAATAAGCAGATAAATAGCCATTGCCCTTAACTGCAAAACAATATATAAGCTGGCCAGCATGAAGGACTAAATTTTGAATGCCATGATTATACAGTACTAGTGTATTTTAAGACAAGACATTGAACCATGTATGAGGAAGGATTACTTCAAAAAAATTTTGTTTACAGGTTCCGCTACACTGTCCAGATTGTGCAAAATCGTGTTTTCAGCAAATAACAGCCAAGAAAAGAAGAGATCGGACAAATGAAAAGCTGCACCTGCGCTCAGTTCAGGAACAATTATGCTAGCACAAGAAACTATAATTATACAGTAATCAAAAAAATAAATTTTAAAAAAATAATTGGCAGATAAACGAAATCTTTTCACGCATATAAAAGGTCATGCTCCAAGCCATTCACCAATCATGGAAAACACTTGCAGATTCCAGCAAATACTGCAAATAACATGGACCACTGCTCAGGAACTGATGTTTTCCTACTAAGTACACAATCAGTGCACCATTAAATGCTGTATTTAGATCCCATCAGTTACATGATTCTTAAATCAGTCATATTGAACAAGTACATACCTGAGAGGAAGAGAAAAATAATGAATCAGCAGATTGCTGATATACTTTCCAATTCAAACAAATATATACCAAAGAGGTACCAAACAGAACTGAAAATTGTTGTCATATGTTCGTAAAAGGATCATTTAGTTCGCAAACTTGGACGGAATTAAATCCAATAGGATCAAAACGAACCATAGATGCAAAAAATGTGAAACCCTTGCCCTACAATAATAAAGAAGAAACTACATAACACATGGAAATAATCAAACGAGGGAATACGCTGCATTCAAAATAAAACTCCACAATTTACAGAGATTCCAGCTAAAAGGTAAAAAGAAAATTATGATGTATCAGATCTAAAAGTATATTTTGTGAGTAGTAGGGTGGTATTCCGCTCTCATTATTGTTCAATTGTTCACTAACTAGCAAAGCATGTTAACATCACAAATCAAGAAGCTAAGTACAAGGGGTTGTTTTATTGGATCCTCAAACCCTGGCAGCAACTGCGGGAGCGGTGGCTGCAACGGTGGCATTGGAGGAGGCGCCAGTCAAGAAAGAGAGGAAGCCAATAGCAGGGGACTCTTGCTCATCAAGAAACAAATCCTCGGGAACCCTAAAGGCACCGTGCGCACAGACAATGGCAAGGCCGACCATGAGGGCCGACACGAGAACAGATCCAACGCTGGTGAGGAAGATGACAACGATGGTGGAAACGATGAGACCTACCAGGGTTTCGCGATCGGAAAATTGACGGCCGAAGAGTGTAAGGGGCGGATCTGAGGCGGTGCGGAAGAGATAGAGGAAAAGCCAGGCGGCAAGAAGGGCAGCGAGGAGGATGAGAGAGAGGGGGTTGGTGAGGAGAGAAACGGCGACGACACCGGTGATGACGGCGAGGTAATTGACGCGGAAGTAGGCGTAATTCTTGCGGATGCGTTGGGTGGCATCGGAGATGGAGTCAGGCTTGGAGAAAGCGGAGCGATCAACGAGCTCAGACCAGGGGCGGCGGCTGGCGAGGCCGTTGCGGACGGTATCGCTGATATGATTTATAAAAGCACGGAAGGCGGGAGGGGGTCCGGACGACTGAATGGAGTCGGTTGTGGTGGTGGTGGCGGCGGAGGGCTGAGGGTTGGTGATTGGAAGAAGGATGGCGGGCGACGAGGAAGCCATTCCAATTCCCAATTTCTGATCTGAGGCCTCTGCTACTTTTCTTCTCTTATTATTGTTATTATTATTTTAAAGGTGTGTTTCTTTTTCAGAGGGAGGGAGATATAGAGAAAAGGGAGTCTACGGAATCCGATTCAGGCTTCAGACATTAAAAAGTAAATTTAGCTCTTCCGCCTGCGCTACTAACTAAAGGGGGAATGGGATGAACTTTTCACCGTGGAGAAGGGACCGAGTAGTACTGATTAGCACCGGTAGTCAAAGAAATACTCTACCACGAAAACACAACACAAAACGGAATTGGTTGCTTAATCCGTACGTCAAAAAACACGAAAAGGAAGTTGTATAGAAATTTCGTCGGTGGATCTGGAATACGTCTGGATGGGATTTTTTTTTTTTTTTTTAATAATACGTCTGGATGGGAGTTTGGTATGCTAGAAACTATACACGTTTATAATGCAAGCAATTACGATAATACATTTTTGTGAACATATGCATCCTTTCCCACTTATACATCGCCCTAATAAATATCGCTGGAAAACTTTTCGTCTGGCAATTCTGCTAATAATGAAGTCATAAATAGTAGTATCTATTTTCATAATTCACAGTATTTTTTGGAACTAAAAGTATAAGACCTTATTTGGATTTCATTTTTCTAAATTTTTTGTAGTAAAATTACTGCAGTACCTTGATATATATATGAGATTAAAAAGTGATTAAAAAATTCGTTCCCGAAAAACTGCACGCAAGGGCTAGGAAGCTGCAAACGAATCGAGCCGCTCGAGCTCGAGCTCGAGCTCGATTAATAACGAGCTCAACTCGAGCTTGACTCGAGCCGCTCGCGGGCTAGGAAGCTGCAAACGAATCGAGCCGCTCGAGCTCGAGCTCGAGCTCGATTAATAACGAGCTCAACTCGAGCTTGACTCGAGCCGCTCGCGAGCGGCTCGAGTCAAGCTCGAGTTGAGCTCGTTATTAATCGAGCTCGAGCTCGAGCTCAGAATATTAAGCTCGTTAGCTCGAGCGGCTCGAGTCAAGCTCGAGTTGAGCTCGTTATTAATCGAGCTCGAGCTCGAGCTCAGAATATTAAGCTCGTTAGCTCGCGAGCCTTGGGTATATATATATATATATATTTTTTTTTTATTTAATAATAAAATTACGTATATTATATTTTTTTTTATTTTTTATTTTTATAGTAAAATTACGTATATATCCTTAATATTTTATTATTTATTAAGAAAAAAATATTATTTTATTTATAATTATTTTTTATTTTTTTCGAGCTCGAGCTCGAAATTTGCCGGCTCGTCGAGCTCGAGCTCGAGCTTGGTAAAATTTAGTCGAGGCTCGGCTCGATTAGCTCAAAGCTCGACTCGGCTGGGCTCGTTTGCAGCCCTACCGGCTAGCGTACGCGTGCAGCAAAGCACCCCCGTTGAATGGTTCTTCTACCAGAGTACCATACGCTGGTCTGACTCACTCTACAACTCTGTAGAATGAGTATGCACTGACGTACTCATCCCAGAGGAAGGCTACCTAAAAAATATCAACTAATTCCATTCAGATCTGCATGATGTAGCATTAATTCACCAGCCTGCGCCATGTGCTCAAGAAATAAAAGTGAGCCACATATTTCTGAACAGCATTGAGATGCATCTAGTGATTGTTCAAACCGATCTCAAAATATCCAGTATATTAAATTGCATACTTCTCTAAAGATGGATGCTCTGGAGCATCAACATAATCTGCTTGGAACATAATACAAGTACTACTACACAAACATTGAAGATGCATATTTTCCAAATTCTGAGCCCCGTGGTCAACAAGCTCAACATTTGCAAATACGGAACCTAGAAGGTAGACCCATTCCATCCAAAGTTGGAACTCTGCAAAAATTAAAGCGGCAGCCCTTCAGTACCATCAAAGTGGCAAAACAGAGTAGCCAAGAGACACTTGTACCACATTTTGGTGGAAAATCAGCATTTTCAGAGATTGAAAAGAAAATGGAGGAGAAAGTTGATTCATGGTGCAGAGTAACAAAAGTTGATTACATGACCTAGTACTGGTGTAAAGCATGCAGACACTGTGCATATTCTTGACTCTGATGGGCCTAAACAACAAGGAAGAATGCAATAAGAATCTACATGCTTGGGATTTGACCATTTTGCTAACAATTTTGAAGGCTAAAATTGCTTACCTTGGTGTCACAGAATTTCAGGAAGAAACGCGACTTTGGCACATTAAGCTTTGTCTCAAGAATGTTGGAAATTGCAGCACTCAGCTTCTTGTTCACATCAGGGTTGAGTCCCCCAATAGAAACCAACTCACCATAGGCAGTTGGCTGCTCAGTTCCACCAAATGACATGGGTACAGACCCCTTCAACACAATCATAACATACTGCAGGATTACAGGTGCAACGAAAGATTAATGCCATAATGGCCTAATGGAATTCAAGACACTATTCCAGCCACCACAACGTACTTAAGTGTAATCCTTTCATTAGTGGATAGTTCAAAACCCAGAGATATAGAAACATAAAATTAGCTATGTCACTCAATCTGCCAAAATAGATGATTGCACGTGTTGAAAATGCTGCCAATAGTCAGACCTAAGGCATATTCACTCCACCCCAACCCCCCTTCAAAAAAAATTTTTTTTTGGGGTTGGGGGTGGAGGTGGGCGGAGGGGGGATGTTGGGGGGACAAAAGGACAAAGTTTGGGGGTGGAACAAAATACCTTGTTTATAAGTTTTCTTTGTGTGTTTTTTTTTTTTGGGGGGGGGGGGGGAAGGGTCTGATAACAACCGACGACAACAATGAGCCCTTCACCGCAAGACAATTGCAAATCCAATTATGTTCATTGGCCCAAAAGTCACACAACATAAAGCACAGAAACTAAAAGATACGAGAAAATGTACAACACACAACAGAAGTTGTTCATAACTTCTCAATCTTGGATATCCTTCAAGGATTTGAATCCACTTCGTTTTCCTAAAAGTAAATAAATAAACCACAAAGCATGTTCCCAACAATATGAAAAGCATTTTAATGGGCATTACTTACATCTAGTCCTCAGATGATCAAAGCATTGTACAGACAAGAATGAGTAATAACGATTATCAAGACAAGTAAAAAGACACCAAAACTGAGGCAGTTTTTACCGAATTAAACTCTGGACAACCTAACATGCACAATCAAATTAATGCATGCCCCAAATCTCCTCATCACAAAATCAGCAACAAGCAATCCCATCTTGAAGAAATTAAAGGCGTTAGGGTCAAAGAAGTTAGTGAAAATGCGAATATTCATCTAGGCAATTTCCAATTGAACAGGAATGTCAAAAACCCAGAGTAAAGAATTTAAAGGACAAAACCCAGTTTGTGTTGAAAATAGGTTATCTATCGACTTATACCCCAAATATTATGTCCTTAATCATTTAATTAGAGATATATTGGAACTGAACCCTTAATTCAAGTATAAGGGCTGTAAAAATCAAAACCCACCAGCAAAATAAACGATTGGAACTGTGAGAGAGAGAGAGATCGGAACTAAAATGAAAATTGTAAAGAAAGAAGAAAAGGGAATCAGCATCAAAGAGACGCGCTAGGAAAAGGATACATGTACTAAAAGGACAGAAATGGAGAGAGGATGGTTAAGTAGGAATATATACAGCCTCAGGCTTGCCGACGAGTTTGGCAACAGTAGAGGTGGCCTCAGACAGAATGGCGGAGGTGTCAACGCCCTCCAGCTTGACGTTTGTGGACAGGTTCAAGCACGGCATTTTCCTCTTCTCTGCGACCGCTATCCGCTGCGATTTCAACAAAAGACACCCTTCGTCCCCTCACTCTCTCGCTCTTCCCCCACCCACAACTGCCCCTACTATATACGGATTATCGATTACGTACGGAGTCCCCTTGTGCCAATTCCCCTTCCTCCCCATGTCCCATCTTTATTTATTAATTTTTCCACCAATTGCACTGTTTTCGGTTTGTGTTTGGGTTTTTTTTAAAAAGAGTTTTCTCTCTCTTTAGTGTTTTTCTTGTGTAAGTAGGAGAGTTAAAATACAATAATACCTCTTACATACAATCTCTCTTCTCTTATCGTCCAATTTATTGGATTCATTTTGTATTATATTGTTATTTTTCTTTTATAACATCATTTTTAATTCTTTTTTATTTCATTAAAATTTAATAAATATTAAATGAATAAAAAATAAATACAACAATCCCAGAAAATCAATATATAATAGAAAATTAAAAATATAGTAGAAAATTCATTAAAGAAATCTCATTTTTGTGTATTTTGATTTTTTAAATTTGTTAAATTTTGTATATTACTCAACCAATAGTTGTTGAATTATAAGAAAACAAAAAAAATTAAAGTATGGTGTTTCTAAAAGAGAAATAGCAATATAATAAAAAGTAAGTCATATGGTAGCATAAAAAATGGAACCGAATATCTGTTGCGTCATCCAACTTTTCCTTGGTTTGAGTTTGGGTTTGATATATATATATATATATATATATATATATATATATATTATTTATTATTTATTTTAATAGTAAAATTACATATACATCCCTAAAATTTTATTATTTATTAAGAAAAAATAATTATTTGTTGTTTTCATTAGATTAATTTCCAAAAACTAGAGCTAACGAGTTGCTCACGAGTCAGAAATTTGAACTATGTTACAAGCTGATAATTCGAGCTGCTAGCGAGCCTCTACCCCAATTAGCAAGTATATTACGTGAACAATTAAATATTACGTAGCTATTCAATCATACACAATAACCATAGTCACGTAAAGCAGAAAACATGCAAATATCAATGAATGAAAGAAGCAATTAAAATAATTCGATCTCACAAATGTTTAGAACCGCGTCTTCAGGTTGATTTTCGACTAAAAAACAAAATTAGCTACTCTCTATTGAGAGTAACTCACGCAATTCTATTGAAGGAAATTGCATCAACGTTTTTACAAAAGAAGGCAAACAAAGAAGATGACCAGTCGAAGAGAAAAGCCAAGCGGCTCCTTCTAATACTTCAAAGAGTCCCGGTTCTCCCTCTTAGACTGTTCCCTGGCTTCTGTATCAATCAAATGGGAATCTGGCCTTTTTTTCTCGTTTCCTAATTGAAGTCTAACTCTTCGGCCGTCCATTAGCCAACCAAAATTAGAATTCTAATTGTGAAAGGAAACTTCCCCATCTAATGCTAATTGTTCCCTAATAAAATATCTAAGAAACATGATAATTTTCTAATCTTCCACAATATTCCACGTAGAGTCCATCTTGAATTGGAAAATTATTGAAAAATCACATCTTTTATCACTTTTTGTTCCACTTTCCTACAGTTAGCACCAAATACCAAATATAAGTTGAATCCATCAATTAATACAATATTTGGTAAAATAAAAGAGAAAAATAATCACAAAAATGCAACCTATCAGGCATATTGTGGTCAGTGGGCTTTTTTCCTTCAATTATTTTATTGATTACACTTATAATAGACATCTGGTTTTAACATAGCAAAACAAAAGACTTAACATGAATGGGAAGGGCTAGCGTATTTAACTTTAAAGTTCACTGGATAATTTGAACCAGTAATCGGGGCGCATTTGATGTGTGTGCACTTTCTGAAATGTGTGATGCTTTAAGAAATATGAACAATGTGTAAACATGAAAGGAGAAAAAAGTATAAAAGTTTATAAAAAAAAAAAAAAAGGATTATTCAATTAAAATGAAAACCACGATTATTTATCAATAGTAAAAGGGAGAAGTGCTATAGTAGATATATAGTAGTAGTTTTAGAGTGTCTCAAATATCATCGGATAAATCCGGAGATTTAGATAAACATGAAAAAAATCAAATTAGAGGAACTGCATTAACGTGGAAAAGAAAGATGCCGTTTTAAGTTTATAATTATAGCTATATTGTAGCCATTTTGCCCTAAATAGTAAGGGTAAAATTGATAATTTAAAAAATAACGTATTTCGTTAACACCAAATTCAGACTCTGTAGTCTGTATGTACTTTAGGAGTTGAGCGGCCTAATCGCCCAATAGTTTGGTGCTTCGCTCGGCGAAGTTGTCACAAATTGGACCGATTTATATATTTGTTAGGTGATGTACGATCATCCAAACGAGAATTCTGTTTGCAGTGATTAATGATTAGATTTTGTAAACATTGGGCTGGCCCAATGATTAGATTTTGTTATATCTCGGATCCAAGGGCTGGCTCTAAATGTGTTTAATGATTAGATTTTGTGATGTTTTTGGACCAAGGACTCGATGAACAACTTTTCGGCTAGATTTACGAGTTCAAAAAAATTGACTCAAGTTATTTAGTAATTCATGGGTTGAAACTTATAAATTATTCTTTTCTTACCCATATCCAAAATTGGATTTGTATTTACCCCTTCTCAGCACCTCTGATGCCCAATATAACACCCCAAACTCATAGGTCCTCTGAATAACTTTTCAACAAAATCTATAAAATGAATCGTTAATTCAAATTATTTAAGATATACTGTACCAAAAATCAACCCTTATCGGAGTTTTGTAAGTAGGGCCAAAGACATCAGGACGCCAACATTAATGGAGGACATGTGACATGCAGTTGAACACTTGCGAAATTTTTATAATAAAGAAGAAATTGTAAATCTGAATAATTAGATTCTAGATCTACAACATCTCAAATTTCATAAAGATAAAAATTTAAAAAACCAAAAAACCATAAGGAAATAAAGCTCTCGCTAGAACAATATAGGAGAGAAGAAATGATGTACTAGGAGAGAAGAATCTCTCGTTAGGAAATTTTAGGAGAAAATTTATTTAAATAAGAGAAACTAAAAACTATAAAGAGTACTTCCTTTCATGGAAAAAGACCAGATTTGGTCTCTCGCCATGAAAGAGACGAAGAAGATCTTTGATGGAGAAGGGAGAGAAAAGAGTTTTAGAGAGAGAAGTAAGTAAATACTCTATGTTTTTAGTTGAAGAGCAGAAAATGCAAGGGAAAGGGAGGTTCACAACTTGGACTGGTTGCGGCCCATTGTCGTGTCATAAACCTTGAGGACGAATCGGGTTCTGGGAATGGACAATTTGGTCTCCAGGATGGTGCCGATGGCCGCAATCAGCTTCCTTTTGACTTCCCTGTTGATTCCACCCATGGATATAATCTCCCCAAGTGCAGCAGGTTCTTTGTTTCCGCCGAAAGATATCGGCACCGAGCCCTTTAGCAGGACCATCACAAACTGCGTTTAAGAAACCAATTTTTTAAGTCATCCCAACGAAATTGAGGCCAAAATAAAATGTTTGTTCCCAAATTGTGCAGTAAATTTACATCCCATGTTGCTCTTGTTTTCTTTTGTAGTAAGCATATCAAGCTGATTAGGGACAGAGTATTACCGACATGGTGGTTCATATGAACATCGCAACTTGCAATGAACAGATTCATAATACTCCTATTACTGAAAATTATTTATTTATTTATTTAAAATGAGGAATCCCGACATGATTTTCAAGAATTGGACCAGTACTCAATGAAAAGGACCCCTTCAAGTACGACTACCACATCCGGATTTGTTGATTTTCCATGCAACTCAAGAGAAGAGCAGTTATGAGGAACAAACATCACAACTGAATTCAAAGAAATTTCACTTGCGAAATAAAATGGTTTGTCATCATGAGTTTTTCATTTACTCCCTGCTCCCTTCGTTCCAATTATTTAATCATTTTTAGGAATTTAATTTTTTAAAAATAATAATTTAATTGTTATGTTTGTGCTTCTCTTTTAATTTTATCTCTATAAATGTAAAATTTAGATTTGAATGTTAATATACATATGAAAAATATTATATTGAAAAAAATATACTTTAATATTTTTAACATGACAAAATTTTTAAAACATCTCAAAATGAAAAAAATATGGCATTTTCAATTGGACGAAAAGAGTATTTATTTATTGCAACGTTGCGCCCACCTACACCATCTTGTCTTCTTCAATCTTAACGGGACAACAAAGTCGCACATTACTCCCAGTCCCCACCCTTTTTTATTTTCTCCTTTCTGTAACATCAGCTGAATGAGAAACGAGGGAAGCAAATTTGGCTACGTTTATGGACGGGGACGGACTTGCTTTCGGCGTCGCAATCATCCACCAGGGGACTACGAAACCGTCTGTCAGATTTTCCTACACACCACTATGCCTTTTTCTTTTATTTTTCGTGATTGGAAACGAAAATGATGCCGCACTGGAATCCCTATGGTATTGTCTGGAAAGGACATAGGCAGATTTTTGGTCTGGAAAGTCTTGAAGCAATTTCAACTATCAACTAAAGCCTGAGAAACCCATTATTGTTTTTTTTTTCTTAAACAAAAAAAAAAGAAACGAAGAAAGGCTATCTCAACAAAAGAAGCGAACCAATCCGGATAAAATTAGAAGCATACAAAATTTTGTTGAAAGAGAAAAAAGAAAACAAAAGCAATTTAGCATGCACGAAGAATATTAAGCTAGGCCAACAAAAATGCATGACCCTTACAAAAATACATATTATTGCTTTGACGCCCACCACAAGAAATTTCCCCACATTTTGGGTACAATTTCTCCATAGCCCCAGGAATTGTACACCCCTGTCTCGATACTTAAGGCCAACCGCAACACGATTAATAGTACTTGATCAATGGGCACAAAAAGTGGTTTAGTTTTTTTTTCTGTATCGAGGAAAGAGGGTCGAAATTATTATTGTTTAACTTCGTGGTATTGTAATTTGTCGATGACAACCAAAACTCTTCAGCAAGGACTAATTTTTAAAGTCTAAGTTGAAACTAGAGGTGTTAAAATAGATCATTCAAACGGATTTGGATGGCTCATAATCAGGCAATGATTAGAATTGAATTAATCTTTTATATATTTAATAAATGGATATGAGTATAGTCAATTACTCATTTATTACTCACTTAAAATTCTACTCTTTTTTTTAAAAAAAATTGTTTGCATGTTGTTTGATAAGAAATAACGATATTGTTTCGTTATTAGATTCATAAAATATTCAAATTTATCTATTTAACCACCACCAGAAATTGAGTTTAAATATATGATTATTTGTAAATGGATGAGTCGAGTCAATTTATTACTCACCAATTAAATGGATTCAATTGAGGACTCACTTAGCGAATTTGAGTAAGTTAGTAGTAGACAAGTCATTATATGATTGGATTGTAATTGACACCCCGCTAACTAAAACAAAAGGGAAAACCAATCACGCAACAAATTTCGCAGAACCTTGTAGAACAACCGCACTCATTCTCGTCATCAAAGGATATGGTGGTCTGCTAATATCCCCCTACTAACCAACCCCAAAAACAGGACAAGAAAATCAAGAATATGGAGAGAAGGATCGCCTAGTTGTAGAATCGCACTTAAAGCTTTTATGCAAGGAAGGGCAAGCTAGAATATTTTTAAACATATCCCATTACCGACACACAAGGGTCCGGCTCAAGAAAAGGAAAAAAGTAAATAAATGAAAGGTTGGTGTCTGACTCACACAACACAAAACAGGCCAAGTGATTAACAAGTAGAGCAAAGAGGAAGGGAGATTAGCTCTTACAGTTTCGGGTTTTCCGATAATTGCAGCGACAGTTTTGGTGGCTTCAGAAAAGACAGAGTCCAGGTCGACTCCATTTAGGTTGACGTTGGTAGAGATATCAAGGCAAGGCATATTCTTCCTGCTGCTGCTGCTGCGTGTGAGAATGGGAACGGGATGCCTTGGACCTTAAATTTTATGAAGAGTGGATTGGAAGAAATGAAAAAGATACCGCCGTTTCCGACTGTTCTCGCCCCTACTTTATAGTACTGCTTCCTGTACGATTAGTAGTAGAGTTTGATATCTCGATCTGGTGACTGGTCACCTGTTCTTGGGTAACAATTAATAGCATCCCTCTGTACCCGATTTTCTCCCACCGCTGAAATTGTTTGATTCAGGAAATGTACGTTAGGACAAGGAGAAGAAGCGTTTTTCCCTCGGATTGCGGCTTATGCGGGCGATCAGATTAGTTTCTTCTGGTGCTTCCCACTTGCCAGGGATACTCTTTTAACGTAGTGGCAACCATAAAATCTACTGTAGTAAACTTTTTGTTCTAATCATATGAGACTACTTTTTATCCTCAACCTCAAGACTCGCACAAAAATTTTGGGATGTCTGAAGCCTTTTTTCCACAAAATTCTGAATCCAAATCAAAGGTTCTTCCACATAATGGGAAGATGGAAAACATAATACTCATCGAAGCCGGCGAGCCACCGACGATCAAACATTATTGATTCCATATTTTTTTTTTTTTTTGTCGCCATATGAGGTATCTTGATTTATGCCAGATTAATCTCCTGGCGGTGGTACAGAACCAGCCTCAAAGATGCACCACACGGTAGCTAGGCAAGAATCAAAATGATCATCTCCAGGTAAAGATTCAGAGAACTAACCGGCAAACTACCCACTTGGGGGCATCGATTGCATTATGTATGCCTGCGGCATAATTGGATGCTTGCATAATATTAATGTACAATCTGGAATAGGATCAAGATTCATTGCTCGCAAGTCACAGACAGGACAAACACCATTCGAAAAGTGTCTCGACTTTTCAATTATGTCGGTTATTTAGGGGAAGAACAAATTTTTTGGTAAAGCTAAATTGTATTGCAACTTTTGATCGTACAAAACATTCTTTGCGCCAAATTTTGCACCCTATAATATCTTAGGTAAACTTTTTGATGCCCTTACTTGAAAGTAATTTGAAAAAAAATACAACCTAAAATACTTTTGTGACAACCATACGCACTTGAAAGTAATTTGATTAGTTTTTTTTTTTGGGTTACATTTGGATGTTTTAAAATTTTTGGCCAATTTAATTTTTTGATTGTCCATTTTGAGTGTCGTCGTGTCAACTAAGCCCTTTGATTGTTATTTTTGAGTCTCATCTGTTCTTTTCAACCCGGGTATTATATCAACTAGGAGGTGAACACCGCGCTATGCGCGGTGGGACTTTTCAGCTTGCCAGAGTGCCGGGACATCTTAGTTGAGATAATATGCTTCGATCCGGAGGTACCATATGAAATCTATTGAAATATATATTTACAAAGTCTTAACTTCAACTAAAAGTAATAGAAAGGACATCAGTTCATAGTTAGCAGGGTTAAAATGCATCATCTTCGAAGATTGGGAACCGCAAATCAGGGAAATTACTCTTAAAATAATAATCCGTCGTCATGATTTTCTGCTAGCTAATGCAGTTATAATTCCACCAGCTATAAGTACCACAGCAGTAACTGAAATGCCAATTCCAATGACACCATCTGCACCATAAAGTTAAACTTTTATTTCATATATTGCCATACTCGAAAAAAAAAATCCTGAGGATTCAAACTAATATGTTATCACCTTTTGTAATTTGTTCTTTTACTGCCTTCTCAAGGTACAAAGCCTACCTCCAATCAAGTTTAATCTAGCAAACAAAGACAAAACCAATGGGATAAAAGCACCACTCTTGAATACAACCAAAAGTTCTACAGTTTCTTTCTTTTGACAATTAATATTGGTAAAGCATGTTAAACTATGAGCAATTTCACTAATGGGAGCAGAGAACTAACCTCCAAACATTTCTATACAAGCTGCAGGCTTCTTGAATGCTCACCACTTCTATAACAACCAACAGTTAGAAGGTAAAGCTTTTCACTCTTTTGCGATGGACTATTGGTCTCAGAGAGAAGTTGCGCACATAGCCAATAGATAGATTTTAGTAGTGAGAGGAGTTTGCAATTCATATTTAAATCGAATTTAAACACCAAAACTCCAATTGCAGTTCTCTCCTTCCAACTTTCTAAAAAGGTCATACACTCTCAGAACAGTATTTTTTATAGTATGGCAAAAATTACCATTCTATGCAAATAACAAGTACTACAATTGAATTTATGTAACATTTTGATTCTTCTACTTGTAAAACCCAGCAAACTCTAACACGTGCAATGACATAATTCCTTCATAGGACATAGCAGATGCTTATGACATGCAGTATTATAAAAAAAAAAGAAAAAAAAAACTCTTAGTAGCATCATTACTTCTCTGGATAGCAAACATCTATATTCCAGTAGTAATATCTATATTACTTCTCTAGTTTTCACTCTTTTGAAACCTGGTTTGAAGTTTAAAAAAAAAATCCAATAATGATCATGAGATCAGTGCACAGGACAATTTAAAAATTATAACAATCACGTAGATTCACAACTTCCCGAAAACGTGGAATTATAAGAATCACTGATAATGACTAAGTTGAGGGAAAGATTATGTTTGATACTATTAACATGTTCAATTTAAAATGTTTAAGTACGCAGGGAAAAAAAAGGTGCAGATGGTTACAGTTGGCTGTTGTCACTTTGACTCTAATGGCAATGATAATTGTGAAGGGATCATGCTCAGTTGCAATAGGATTATCGTGAGCTTCCTCAAATTGATTCCATATGGTTTAAACCATTGGCTTCATGCTGCAGAAACAAAGAAAAAAAGACTACTGTCTATAAATCTATATAACACGAAGTCACGAATTCTTGTTTTTCTCAAGCATTGATTTACTTTGACAATACCAGAAGGCACAAAACAATGGATCTTAAGAAAGGTAAGCTAAATCAAAACAAATTAACAAGGGGCGAAAATATAAAAACACAACCTAAGAATCCCAACAAAATTTTTAGCCAGCTAGTTGGTATAATAAAAAGAAGCAGCCGCAGCACATACTGAATGAAAAGGCAATCTTCACAAAATATTAGAAATTAATAAATAGAATGATAAACGATCACACTTTAAAAATGTTGTTTCTAAATCAGGCTTATTACCAAAGTCCGAATTTACTGCTATCATTTCCTGTTCTATGTTGTGGCGGTATACAATATGACGAAACAATACACTCATGTACTATTCTAACAGCATTCAAACATCATTAAAATTTTGGTTGCCTCTTTTGACAACATACAAAGTGACAAAATAGGTCATTATTATTAATCTTCATCCTGCACCTTTCTAAAGACCAATAATAGCATAAAGATAGCAAAAACTTACAATAAAGTGCTGGGAAAAAAATCTGTTAACACAAGGAAAAAAATAGGAAGACAAAACCTTAGATCTGCACTAAACAGACCATTTCCCTTTTTCTTCTTTTGGTTCAGGAAAAACACCCAAATAAAACTCACCTTGAGAAAAAAATTTCCCCAATCATTTTGTACCATACTGCAAATTTTAATAGCTCAACCTGTAACAAACATTTAAAATCCAATAGAAAATAAAGACGCCTATAACAAAAAGAAGAAAACAAATAGTCTATAATTTAAACAGATAACAAAAAACCTAAAACTTAAAATAGCAAACAGTTAAAAACTTAGAAACTTTTAAAGTTACTTTTGTTGCACCATAGGCGAACACATGAAAGAATTTTGAACCACCCTAAGCAAGTGGACAACAACGCAATGCACCACAAGAAAGGACACATAGAATCACATAAGATTTCCATTAATACACAAGAAATCAGAAGAGGAAAAATTACAAAGAATAAATTAGCATTTTTGTAAAGTTCTTGTACTCCCTATAACAACATAACAAACTTTCCAAACAATCTGATATGATAATTACACATCAACCCTAACCAAGCTAGCAGATATAGTAGAATCATTAAAAAAAACTTTTCTAAAAATGCGACAGAAACACTAAGATAACATGAAGCCACCAATTCTTGTCTTTTGTTAAGAAAACAGGAGGTCAGCAGTTAAATATCTGCATCTTTTGTTATTTTTTGCTGAAAAAATACTATTGTTTTAAATGCAGAAATGCCTTTCAAACTTCATTATATTATTAGAATTGTGCAGAAACCTAATAATGATCTAAGAGGCTTCAAGCAAAGAAATTAAGGGGGGAAAAGGTAATGCATAAAGCAAGAAAATAAGAAATTAGGGCACAAAAAGCTTACCTTTTGATGATTTCTCCAACCTAAATAAAAAAAACCACAAAAAAATTGAGCAAATGATGAGATGCGAAATAGGTAAAAATAAAATAAAATCTAAGATTTAGAATTGAGCATGGTAGGGTACCTCAATGTCAGATCAATGACTTTTTCCTTCTGTGGCAACAGAGACCTGTTGAAAAGAGAGTTTGAGAGAGAGGTACGGGAGGTAAGGACATTGGTGGATGAGAAAATGAAGTCTCATTTGAATCTTATGGGTAGATGAATAACACAGCCTCCATATCCAAACACATCCTTATCTGCTTTCTTAATCTCTCTCATATGATCCGATAAAGGAAGAAAAACGCTAACAAATATACATAAAAATAAACGATATTCCTGTTTGATCTTGTCAACACAGGCCTCCATATCCAAATTCATCCTTATTTGCTTTCTTAATCTCTCTGATGAGATCTAAACAAGGGAAACAAGACTAACAATATACATAAAAATAAACGAAAAACTCAAAAATTTTAAGAGATGGATTTTTTTGCTTAGAACATGTGATTTTTTAAATTTCACAAAATAAAGATGCTGAAGATCCAGTTTTTAACTTGTCTGCTTCTTTCCATGTGGCTTTTTTTTTTTGTCTATTTTCTTGCAGGCAAAAAAAGTATCAATACTTACGAAGCAAAAAACTGACGATAAAGATAAATTTCACAAAAAAATAAAAATAAAAATACTTACTGAGAAAAAAAATCACATGTTCTGATGAAGATGCGAAGACCTATTTTTTCCCTTATTGCTTCTTGTTTCCACATGGCTTCCTTGTTTTTTTTGTCTTATTTCTTGCAGTAGAAAAGAAAGTCGAGATACTTACCGACCAAAAAACTCACCTGTTGAAATGAAGAAGATAAAGATGGAGAAGATCCAATTTATCTTTCACAGAGAGAGGAGAGAAATAACGTTTAATCAGCAAAATAAACCTTGTAAAAAAAAAGGCACAGAAAAATGCAGCAGCACAATGTAAATTTTATGCAGAGAGAAACAAGAAACAGTTTGAATTTAGAAAATAGAAAGCAAGGAGCTGAGCTAACCAGAGTGCAAGAAACAGCAACAAAGGAAAACGGAAGAAAGGAACTATTATCGCTGACCTCGATGATGATATTGGTCGGTGTGCATATTGTGCAGAGAAATTGCATCAGTCTTCTCATCCATCAAGAAAAGAGGTAACAGCTGTTATTTGGCAGACTGCAATAGTGACGGTAGAAGCAATTTTTACTCAAAGCCCATGGGGACAAGAAAGGATTCACAACAGCACTGGTAATTTTTGGGTACAAGAGTAAGGTCAGAATAGTAAAACCAACAAATTAGCATTGAGCCCAACACCACCACTTGTCATAAATCAAGCTGATCACTCTGACAACAAAGTAGACACGGACCTGGTGACTTTCAAATGGGTTTCTCACATTGGGTAAAAGAATCAACCCTCGATGTAAAAGAAAACAACTTGTTTCAAAGCAAGAGAAAAGAAAAACAGAAAAATGAAGCCAATTCTTCTCTTCAGCTTCAGCATGTGAGATCCCCGTGGCAGACGACCACGCTTGAACCAATCCCATTCAACCACGTCAGCACAACAACCACCATTCTTAACAGATCCGTTCGCGCTTTTACTATATAGGTTGATAAGTGATTGTCAGCTTTGAAAAACTCGTGTAGAAATTGATAGAATTGAAAAGTTCTTTACTTCCTAAAACTTGTAGTAAAAGAAGTCACAAGTGGTTAAGGTGTCTATTTGCGCAACTAATTTTTGTATTTAACAGTAGTAATTACAAATTGTGTTCAATTACAAAAAAAAAAAATTGAAAATTATGATATGCCGATAAAATAATAAAGTTTAATTTTAAAATTTTGGAACGTAGATTTTCATATTCTAAAAGCTCTAATTTATTTTTTCAAACCACGTATATGAAATATGAACACCCTCAACCCTTATTCCCAGCCCCCACCTATTTCTTGCCGTTTCCCTATACCTTTCCCGTTCCCTTTGCCACACTACTCAAATTTTTTTATTATCAATTTTCATCATCTATTTCTACTATGGGCTATTCTAAAGGGTCATATGACCTAATCTTTTTTCTTTTTGGCACTACCCAACCCCTAACCATAATTCCCAGCCCCACCTATATTTAGACGTCTCTCTGCATCTTTCCCCCTTAGCTTGCCTACTAGGGCCACTTCCCAATTTTATTTCCTTCTCCGCCTCTTGTGTGTTTTGGTCCCTCCCCAGTCATCCATCCAGCACAATTTTCATTACTATCACGTGAAACCTCCTATTAATACATGCAATTCCTCTGACTTTTATAAGCGACTTATGAATTATCTTATGAGTTGCACAATAACTAATTAAAATCTATCACATGAAATCTACTAGTCACACAATTCTTTCTTTCTTTCTTTTGGTTTAATTTTTTTCTCAGTTTTTTATATGTTGTCCTCATTTTATTGGATGGATTGAAGTTTCTTTATTTTTTTTTTACCCAAAATAAGATGGGGTTAATTTTTATTTGCTCAATATGTTTTAAGAAAAAGAAAGAAACCATGAATGACGATTGATTTGATTTTGCCATCCAGTTTATAAATTTCAGCCTTCAAGATTTTTCCTTCTTCTTCTTTTTTCTTTTTCCCTCTTCTGTTTCTCCTGCTCGTGGTGATTTGGTTTGATCTGCTGAATTTCAAAGCTAGACAGAGAGGATAGATGAGCAATCATCGTTTCCTTTACAGAAAGAGTAGATCTTATGTTGTAATAAATGATTTGTTCATGAAGTGGACGCCCGGTTGTCAAAAAAATCATTTGGGACAATTTTATTTCAATTTCACAGAATATTAATCTCATTTGTTCAGAATGTAAACCATTTTCAACAACTTAAAAATATAGAACAAGAATTTGTGATTTCACACATAATATTAAAATTAATTTATAAGACGTAATTTAGATTTTACGTTATTTTTTATGTCAAATCATCGCGGTTAACCTTTCAAGACGGTCGCTACTGTAACCATCCTTGACAGCGTTGTGTAATTCCATTTTGGTGAAATCTCACATCCGTGTGATGGATATAGGAAATAGAGAAGTTTTTGGATCATTATTGTGAAGTGGACAACTTTCTGTTTTCCACCTCATTCTTCGTCTTTCTTAATTATTCTTTTCTCTGAAACTTTTTATCTTCTTTTCCAATGCCTTTTGCCGTAGTAACTCTCTCTGATTCTTGAATTCATCCCGAATCTATTCCAATTTACTAGCTCTTGACAGGAATTTACCTTGTCACCTGCAAGGTTTGTCTCATGTAGGACTGACTACAAATGAGTCAAATCAAATCGAATTTCGATTCAATTTTATTAAGTTTGAATTTGAACTTGAATTTAATGAGTTTTTAATGTAAAATTCGAGCTCTAATTGAACTTTAAATTAGCTTGCTCAAGCTTTTAAAAAAAGTAATTATTTTATTTTTTTAAAATAAATAAAATGTTCATTTTTTTCAATAAATAAATAAATAAATAAAATATTAAAAATATATATATAATTTTATTATTAAAATAAAAATAAAAAATATGTATATAATCGACCGACTCTTGAGTTAATGAATTGAATTTCTCAATACTCGGTTCGAATTTGATAATTCAACTTAATCGGGTCGAACTTGATGTTGACTTTGTTCTTGTTGAGTGAGCTGAATTTCTCTGTACTCGGTTCGAATTTGATAATTCAACTTAGTCGGGGTCAAATTCGATGTTAACTTAATTCGTGTTGAGTTTTGGCCGGATCTAACTTTTAAGCGAATTGATCCATTTGCAGCCGAGTGCCACAGCATCACTGTATTTACTACTAGTAATTGATGATTCATGCCACCTACGGAAGGTTGTGGTACAGATGGATATGGAAACCTGCGATTACCAGTCGGAATGGGTAGCGTCACTACCTGTCTGCTGCTATTTATGGGCCTCTTGGCAGTAGAGATGCCATGCCCGAAACCAGAAGAAGAAGGTAAAAAGGGGGAAAAAAAAAGAGTAAAAACCCACAATCGCGTGATATTTTATACAGTTGCGTAAAACTGACGATGCCCGATCGAGTAGAAGAAATATATGGTACACTAGCAATGGTCATAAAATCGGGGGGGAAAAAAAAAAGCTAAAAAGTAAAATCCCGGAGTGAATTTTGAGATTGAATGCGTGGTTGGGGCTGATGGTGATGGAGCAGCGTCTCCTGGCCGACGCCCAATTCCTACTGCTGGGCAGCCAAACGCATCCCCGCCTTCTATCCTCTCCCCATTGCCGCCTTGCAGCCACTGCTGCCTCTCATTACAAGCCCCGGCGCCTCCCTCCCACCCTATCCTCTCTCCTCAAAACCCTAACTCTTCAGCTCCAGTGCACCACCACCACCCACCTCCCCCGAATCGTACTCTCCCTCCTATCTGCCCTCTCTGACCACCATCCCGACCTCCGCCGCGAAATTTCCCTCGCTGTCCGTGCATTCGCCCTCCGCCTCCTTCCTTTCTCTCCATCTTCCTCCTTCGCTCATTCCCTCGCCATCCTCTTTAAGGATGCTGACACTTCCAGTGATGTCACCGACGAACCGACGTTCCTTTCCATTTGCTTTCGCCCGTGTAAAGCTTCCTTAAGGCGCTGGCTGCTTCAGAATGTGGATAAATTTTGCGTCAGGCCGTCGTGTTGATCGCGGTCCTTTTAGGGTTCACCAAGGATCCGTATCCGTTAACCAGGAAAGCCGCCCTGGATGGTTTGGTTTGGCTCTCCGATAAGTTCGTTGCGGTGGAGGATCAGAGCCTGCTTCAGTGTTGCTATTTTTCCGCCGCTGAGCTTCTCTTTGATGCAGAGGATTCCGTCAGATGCTCTGCAGTTCGCACTGTAATTTATTCTTCATGATAATTCAAGCACTTATATTTTTCTCAAACTATTATCATTTTGGAATTTGACAAATTTTTATTTTTATTTTGCTAATAACTTCCTTTTATTGTTATAATACTCTTAGGTTAGCGAGTGGGGACTGTTACTTGTGGAGTCCAACCAAGACAAGTGTAAAATTGATTGGTCTGATGCTTTGTTTGTTCAGGTGGGTTTCTTTATACAATTTTCTTTTCTTCTTCTTTGTTGTTAATATAAATTG